GTTGTTCACAACATTACAAAGCTCTTGACATATTTCATACATTAGATTGAAGTGGGTTATGAACTCCCAATTTTACCCCAAATGCAGATTGCAGAATCACGTCGGTTACACATCCACAATTTTACATATGTTTCAAACTAAGATTTTAAGAAAAGGCTGGGGATATAGCTCAGTGGTAAAGAGCCCCTGGATTTAATCCCAGTAACAACAACAAAAAATAGTTGCATGTAATTAACTAATTTTTACTCTAGAAACGATATAGGCTGCAAAGGAAAAAGTGAGGGAAATTTAGGTAAATTAATAATTCACAAATAAATGATTTATCAGAGGAAATTAGGATGTTAGATGTTTGGGGTCTTCTTTCTCATTTTTTGCACAAGCCTCTCTGTCAAAAATAAATCTTGGGCCTTACCAAAAAGAGGCTAATTCTGCTGTCCTCTGCAGAGTGGATCAACAAATAGTGACCTATAGACCTAGGTCCCTGTCCTCAGAAAACTCACAACATGATGCATACATATGTAAGTATGCACACACACTCTGGCTTTCTCTAGCATAATCATAGTAAAGAGCAGCAAGTACTGAGATAGGCTCTCCCTGAGAGTGTGGAGGAGAATGATTCCTTCTATCATTGTCTGTCCCTGGAGCACAAGAGGCAGGAAAAACTTCCAACTCATAATCTTTATCCTGCTGATAAAGTTCAGTTCTTTCCATGCAACCTTATTTTTTTGGGGTGGGGGGGGGACCAGGGATTGAACTCAGAGGCGCTCAACCACTGAGCCACATCCCCAGCCCTATTTTGTATTTTATTTAGAGACAGGGTCTCATAGTTGCTTAGCACCTTGCCATTGCTGAGGCTGATTTGAACTCTCCATCCTCCTGTCTAAGCCTCCCCAGCCACTGGGATCACAGGTGTGTGCCACCGCTCCTGGCTTCTAGGCAACCTTTGTACATTTTATGGCCATACCAAGAATTAGAAGGTGGCTGAAGTTTGGACAGGGCTGGGACTCTGGGAGAGGCTGAGAGGAGCCCTAGAAAGTGGGTGCTTCCTAGATAAGATCAGTAAGACCCCCAACTTCCCATACAATAAGACTCCACTTCTGTCATGTGGGCTTTTTTTAAACCTTTATTTATTTTTATGTGGTGCTGAGGTTCAAATCCAGTGCCTCACACATGCTAGGCAACGGAGCCACAACCCCAACCAAGACTACACTTCTGGAAGTCAGGGAAGCAGTGTTGAGCTTGGAAGCGGAATTGAGGGTGGTGATGCTGCACGGGGAGGAGGCTTGGTTTTCATTCTGGCCCTACTTCAACTTCTGAGTGACTGTGGGTAAGTCACTTTGCTTCTCTGGGCCTCAGTCTCTCATGACTTGAGCAATGGGCCATATTCAGGTTGGCTAGCAAGGCCTCTGAAACCATCTGGCCTGCCTTACCCACCTCTTCCTATCTTATCATTTTTCAAATGGGAATGCTGGGGCCCAGAGAGATAAATTGCCTGTTCCAAAGTCACACAGTTTAAAAGCAAAAGTGGAAGCCATAGAATAATATTTGTAACATGGTCACACATGAAAACAATTGTACATTTAATATAAGAAAATACATATAAATCTATAAGGACACACAAAAAGATACAGGTCTGGGCATGATGGGACATGCTTATAATCCCAGTGACTCAAGAGGCTGAGGCAGGAAGATCACAAGTTCAAGGCCAGCCTGGGCAATTTAGTGAGATCCTGTCTCAAACTAAAAAATAAAAAGGGCTGAGGATGTAGCTCTGTGGTAGAGTGCCTCTGGGTTCAATCCCAGTACTGGGGGAAAAATTTGATAGTGACATATATACAAATTATAGTGGGTCTTTTTTGGGCTGAGGGAAGGAAAAGAAATGAAGCAATAAAAACAGTTATTATTCCTTTTACTTGTGTATTGCTGGGAAATGATTGTGACAAAATATATTTGTGTATTATTTCTACACTTTTAAAAGATATTATTTCAAATGGAGCCCTGACAAAAGCCAGGTCTCAGCTTTCTGTTTTTCTCACAACAAGCTTGCTCTGGCCCATTCCGGATCTACAATGCTGTGGGCTCTAAGCTGCTCCTGTACCTTGGCAGGATGTGCCAGGATCACCACACTCTCCAGATCAGACCTTGCAGTTCTCAGCCCTTGAGATGAAGACTGTTTGTCATTAATGGCTGGATTTCAGACACCAGCTAGCAAACAGGAAAGGCAGGGGGGTGCTTCTGAGCACCTACTAGATCAAACAGTTAGAGAGCCACATATCTGTTTGTAGGACCCTAATTTACGGACCTCACTCATCTAGGGGTGTCTGGGTTCCACAGGGAGGCAGGGACAGTGCAGAGAGAGCTTTTCTCAGCCCCAAGGAGACAGTCCAGTACCCAAAGAACTGATGAAATCATGGTCTCTACATGGAATTTAACAGACCCTTCCTGGCTTTCAAATCCAGGTACAGAAGAGCCCTCAAGGAGGAGAAGAATTCTGAATTCTGTTTATAACTCTGATGCTGTTCGGTTTTGTGACATCAGGTCAGAAAACCAGCTTATCTTTGTGGAGGGCCAGTTCTTTTTCTGGAAAGTGAAGAAAAAGCCAATCTTTCCTTTTCCTAGGAGAGGTTTCACAAGAGATGGCAAGGGAAACCACCAGATGAGGTTTAGAATCCTGATTAACACCTGCTCTTACTTTTAGAAATCACAAGGCAGCCACAAGGTCAGGTTGTACCCTGAGCCAGAGGCCCCTCCTTCCATCTTTGCCTGGTGAACTCATTCTTTGCCATCCAGTTGAGAGGCCAGCATCTCTGGGATCTCACCTGGAAATGAGAGCCTCCCTTGGACTCTCAGAGTGCTTGGTTCTTATCTCTGCCTCTATATCCTTATCTTACTATATATTGCAACTACCTGTTTGCAGGCCTGCTTCTTTCCATGAGCATAGATCAGTGCTCAGGCAGGCCTGGGCTTGCAGGTCGGAGCACATTGGAATGCCCAGGCCTGCTGCTGGAGGGAGGGAGGCAGGAAGAGCCAGTGACCACACTCCTGCACTCTGGGCTGCCTGCTGCAGGACCCAAGGGTGGTAGATCTGACTTGCAAAGGGCCTGAGCTATGTGAATGGATCTCCTGTGTCTCCTTGGGTCTTCTTTTGGGGCTAGATTCTCTGACCCTTCCCTTTCCACACACTCACTGCTTCCATCTTTACTATTTGGCTGCATTATAATTGAACAGAGGTCTTGGAGAAAAACAGCCCCAACTAATTATCTCTCTTCCACAGCAGTGTAGACTTGGACCATGTGCACCCTCTTCCTCCCAGACACCCAAAATGACGCATCCCTTTTTTGCCCTCTCAGTGCTCTCTGTCCCTGCCTTTCCCTGGGCTCCCAGTCTCCCAGTCTTTACCCACAGTACCCTGCTTGGCCCCTAGGCTACCTCTCAGTGCCCACATTCCTGCAACCCCGTGACCAAACCAGGGGACGTTACACATTCTTGGCCTGGCAGTCAATGGTGTAAAAAAGAACAGAATGTCCCAGGGCCCCACCCATCCCCCAGCTTCACCTGGGCCCCTCCCTGGCCAGGACCAGGCTGAGCAGGGGGGTGGCAAGTCTGGAGGGAAGAGGATGGAGGAGGAGAGAGAGGCAGCAGGGGCCAGCCATTGTTCCCACTTTTGTGGAGGCTCTTCTTTCTCACTAGAACCTAGGGATGAGGCTGATCCGGTGGGTGACTTTGGAGGTGCTCCCACTAGGGGGGATCCCACCTCCTGGAAGCCTTCTTGAGGCTCCCTCCCTTGCTTGCCTGCTTGGAAGAAAGACTCCCTTTGGCTCTCTCCTCTGTACTTTCCGCCTCTGCCTCTGTGTCCCAAGGCCCGTCCTTCATCCCTCTGTCTCAGCCCTTGACTCTGTCCGTCCTCCTCTTCCTGTCTCCCCTTTCTGCCTTCCCTGTTCTCCTGGTTTCCCCACCCTAGTCTCACTCATCCTGGTGGCTCATCCTCCTTCCTATTTTGCCCTCCTGGCTTTGTGTCCAGGATTCTTCTACCTGTTGAAGATTTCTAATGCTTATCTACCTACCCTTCTCCCCTGTCCAGTCTCCATCAATCCCCAGCCCAGACCCTTCCTCACATCTCCTCCCTCCTTCTCAGGTCCCCACACTCCAGCCCCCAGGAGTCCTCCTTCTTTGGAGAGCTCTCAGCCCCAACTCCTCCTCTGCTCCTCCCTCCACCCTGCTCACCTTTAATTGAGATGCTAATGAGGCTTCTGCCCCTTCCATCCCTGGCCAACAGGCAGGCAGGCGGGCTCCCAGGCCAGGCCGCTGCACCTGTCAGGTGAGGGGGAGGAGAGGCTTGGCTGCCAGATTCAACTGGAAAGGAACCAGTCCTAGCCCAGCCACGCCTGGGAGTAGGGAGAAGGAGGCAGCTCAGACCTCCTGGAGCCCTGCAGTCCCAGGGCAGAGAGGGAGTCAGGACAGAGCTGGAGGCCAGGGCCAGACACAGGAGGAGAAGGCCCAGGAGGAGAGAGGGAAAGGCTGAGGAGGAAGAGGAAGAGAGGCAGGATCAGAGAGCCTGGCACAGGGAGAGGAGTCTGGCAAGGAAGAGGAGGACTGAGAGAGAGAGACCCGAAGAGAAGCAGAAGGCAGGCAGAGGGGGTGAGAGGCAGAAGCCAAGCCACAGTCCTGAAGCAAGAGGGCCAGAGGCCGACTGACCAGCAGACAGAGGCCTCCTGCTGTGGAGAAAGAAAGGAAGGTGTTAGCGCGGAAAGCAAAAGTGGCCTTATCTGGGAAGCAGAGAGGCCACTCCAGGGAAGCCCAGAGCCAGCTCCTTGGCCCGGACTCTAGCAGGTCAGCTGGCTCCTGGWGAGGTGGAGGAGGGCGGGAGGGAGGAGAGGGGGGAAAGTGGACTCAGGGTGTGATGTGGGCATGGCCCAAGCCAGCCTCACTCTGGGCCCAAGTTGTTGATGAGGGAGGGCTCCCAAAGCCCTGAGCTCAGCCTGACCCTGACCATCACCTCCCCAACCCACCTAAGGGCTCAATGAAGGGGGACAAGCTCAAGGAGCAAGACCCTTGCCCTCCCCCACCCATCCAAGGGCTCATGAAGGGGGACAAGCGTGAGGAGCAGGGGCTGGACCCCGAACCTGAAGTCCCCCAGCAGCCCACAGAGGAGGAGGAGGCTCTGATCGAGTTCCACCGTTCCTACCGAGAGCTCTTCCAGTTCTTCTGCAACAATACCACCATCCACGGTGCCATCCGCCTGGTGTGCTCCAAGCACAACCGCATGAAGACGGCCTTCTGGGCCGTGCTCTGGCTCTGTACGTTTGGCATGATGTACTGGCAGTTTGCCCTGATGTTTGAAGAGTACTTCAGCTACCCTGTCAGCCTCAACATCAACCTCAACTCTGACAAGCTCGTCTTCCCTGCTGTCACGGTCTGCACTCTCAATCCCTACAGGTCAGTCCGTCTTCTGCCACTTGCCTGACACCTGGAAGAGTGGTCAGAGGGCATAGAAGTGCTCATCTGGCAGGCAGAACCCACAGGCCCAGGGGGAGGAGCTGATGTTCTTGTACCCAGATTGAACCCCTCTGGGCAAGATAGGGAGTCCCCCCTCCCTACTTGGTGGAATGGCATTCCTGCCCAGTGGAGCCAGCCTCCCCCACAGAGGAGTGCTGGACCAGCAGGGCACTCCATTCCCATCCCTCTTCCTGAAAGGGGGAATTGAGGAGGTGGACATACTGATAATTTCCAAAAGGGCAGGGTCGAGCTCAGCCCCACTGCTTCCTGGAGCAAGATGACAACCTTCTAGAACAAGGTCTCTGCCACTTCTGCAGAAGGATCTGATGTAGGGCTGGGGTGTAGCTCAGTGGTAGAGTGTGCACTTAACATGTGCAAAGCCCTGGGTTCAATCCCTAGCAATAACCACCACCACCACCACCATCACAAAAAAGAGTCTAATGGAGAGTGAGGCCAGGTGAGGTGAGGCCAGGCCATGCAGGTGCCCTGGAGGTGGGTGAGGTCAGTCTGTGTGAAAGGGGAGCTTGCTGTGGAGAAAGCATTGTGTGTGGGGTGGGTGGAGGTTAGGGCTTAAAGCAAGCCTTGGGGGTGGGGGTTAGAGAAGAATGGGGTAGGATAGAGAGCCGCCCCTTGTCAACTGTTCCCAAAAGATCCTTTAAGATATGGAGGCCCCTGCTCAGGTGCCTGACCTTCACAGGCTTGTGTGTGCCTTGATATTTTGGGGTTTCATCAGCGCTCTTTGCCAATTCTAGTCTGGAAATTAGAGAGGGTGGTAACCATGGAGAAGAGAGGAGGGCAGGGCTGTTTACATATACCTTTTATTTGTATTCACTCAGTCCTGCCACACCTTGAGAACACCTGCGTAAAGCTAGCCACAGTGCTAGGCCCAGAGAAAATGGATTCATTAATAACTCAACAACCTGGATTGGAGATACTTAGCTCTAGGTAGTGGGGACACAAAGCTAAAATAAGGTGGAGAGGTAGGAATATAAACAAATAACTGCAGTACACTTGTGATAAGTATAATGAAAATCATGAGTCAGTCTGCCTTCTAGGAGTGCAAGATCTTTTATGAGTCTTTGTATGCACATGAGTGTATGAGCACACCCACTGGGAATGTGTGTGGTTATGGATGGTTGGGATTGGTTACATGTTGCGGGTGGAGGCCCCTCATATAGTCTGTTGTGTCCTAAGGTGCATTGTGATCTAATAAGGGTTGGGAAGTCCTGTTCTGGAGAGAAAATACTCTCTTCATATAATATCCAGGGCAGGGGCCACTTGCTGAGTAAGCTACTGTACGCAGCAGCCACTGCTAAGTGCTGACAGCCAGCTCATGACATTCTCACAAAATCCTATGGAGGCAGGAACTATTATCCCTGTTTTGCACAAGAGGAAACTGAGGCAAAGAGAGATAAGTCACCAGTTCACAGGGATAGTGACTGAACTGTGACTCATCTGTTTGCCCGATCACTAAACTCTGCTCCTTCTTAAAACACAGGATGTGGGACTTGGAATAAATGAAATCTCCAATCAGATGATGTTTCCCTCTTATTTCTGGGCCCTCTTTGATTCCTTCCCTCAGCTTCATTTTTCCTGTAAGCTTCCTCCCCCTCTCATTCCCCTAGGCCAAAATGGAGGTGGGAAAATAGAAGGAAGGGAAGGCAGGTCTGGGGAAGGCCATGAGCAGGGTAGTAGGCACTCAATAAATATTTGTGGTTGCAAAGATGTTGATGAGATATGGAGAGGGCAGGGGTGAATCTGTTGAGGCCTGAGTATCTTCTAGAGTTCTTCTGGGGGCCGGTTCCCAGACAGGACAGGATAAAACTGCAGGGAATAGAAATCACAGTCCTTAGGGGCTCCCAGGTTGGGAGGTAGTTGGCGACCGCATAACAATCCCTCCTGCTGGACACACTGTGGTAGAGTTAGGAGGGAGAGAACACTTGGGAAGGAAAGGAGGAAGGGAAGGCTCCCAAGCACAGGGCAAGCAGACCAAACACCTCCTTTGTGCTTACTCCTGTGCTGAATGCTTTCTAGATTCTATCTCATTTAATCTTTTTAAAAAAATTTTTTTAGTTGTAGATAGACGCAACACCTTTATTATATTATATTTATTTATTTATTATGTGGCGCTAAGGATCAAACCCAGTGCCTCACAGTGCTAAGCAGGTGCTCTACCACTGAGCCATGACTCCAGGCCTCATTTAATCTTTTTCTTTCTTTCTTTCTTTCTTTTTCTTTGTGTGTGTGTGTGTGTGTGTGTGTGTGGTGCTGGGGATTGAACCCAGGACCTTGGGCATATGAGGCAAGCATTCTACTAACTGAGCTATATCCCCAGCTCTCCTCATTTAATCTTAACAAGTGCAGGGAAGTGGGTATTTTTATATATTTAATTTTTTCAGATGGGGAAATTGAGGTTTATCAAGTGAAATAACTTGAACATGTCCACATAGTTAATAGTAAAAATGATAATAATAATAGCTATTGCTATGTATGTTTATGTGTCAAGCATTTTTCCAAATGAATCAAAACCTGAATTAAGTTGGGCATGGTGGTGCAGGCCTGTAATCCCAGCAGCTCAGGAGGCGAGGCAGGAGATTGGGAGTTCAAAGCTAGCCTCGGCAATTTAGCAAGGCCCTAAGCAACTCAGCAAGACCCTGTCTCTAAATAAAATATAAAAAGGGATTGGGGGGTGGGGGTTGTGGCTCAGTGGTAGAGCGCTTGCCTAGCATGCATGAGACCCTGGGTTCGAACCCCGGCACCACATAAAAATAAAAACAAATAAAGGTATTGTATCCATCTACAACTAATAATAATAATAATAATAATAATAATAAAGAATGGAGATGTGGCTCAGTGGTTTAGCATCCTTGGGTTCAATCCCTGGTACCAAAAAAAAAAAAAAAGAAATCGGAATTAAATGATATTATATTATTTAATCCTCACATTGTCCTTGGAAGTTGGTACCATTATCCCATTTTATGGATGAGGAAACTGAGACCCAGAAAGTTAAGTAATTTGGCCAAGTACAGACAGGTAGCAAGTGGTAAAAACTGGGATTCAAAAATCACTACCAAGAACCAGTGCACTTCAGATTAGCAATCACAAACCAATTTTGTTTGATATCAAAGCGCTCTCTCCCATTACACTGAAAGTCAAGAGCAGGCAAAAGTTTCTCAGGGTTGGGGCAGTGGTAGGAGCCAGTGGGAAGAGTGATAGTAAGAGGAGGAGTACTTTTCAGGAGTCCCGAGCAGGCAGGGATCCAGGCTGGTGGCTCTGTTGGAAGAGAGAGGTACGGTGGGTATTCAGGCTAATTAATGCAGCCCCGTGAGTGCTAACCGAGTGTGAGCCCTGCAGAGGGAGGAGCCGTGTGGCTCCCCCAGGGAATGAAGGGAAGGTGTGGGAATGGGTTGAGATAGAGGAACTGGAGTGGAGCAGATGGTAGCTGCAGTGTCCACCAGCTGAGGACTGCAGCCACTAGGGGGAGAGTAAAAAGATGGTCCTGCCTGTGGGGCTGTGCTGGTTTGTAATATCCAGGAAAGGGGACAAGGCTGACAGCTGTCCTAAGCAAGGAAGTGCTAAGAATCTGATGGGAAGGGTCCGCACCACTGCTGTCCCATGGAGGGGTTTTTCACCCAAAGGAAATATATTCATATTCATATTCATATTCTTGGAACATAGAGCTAGTCTAGACCTAAGGGAAAACCCAGGGTTCTTGAACAATGAACTGTGAAATCTTTTTTGGAGATGGCAGAGCAGGGGCCCTGGTAAACAAGAATGGGAGAGGAGGCTGGGTGTAGCGGCACATGCTTGTAATCCCAACAGGAGGATTGCAAGTTCAAAGCCAGCCTCAGCAATTTAAAAAGGCTTTAAGCAATTTAAAGAGACCCTGTCACAAAATAAAAAACAAAAAGGGCTGGGGATGTGGCTCAGGGGTAAAGCCCTCTAGGTTCAATTTCCAATACCAAAAAAAAAAAAAAGAACGGGAGAGGAAAGGGACAATTTCCCAAAGAGAGCCACTTCAGGGAGGGAGAGTAGGTTTGAGCTAGAGAGTCATCCCTGACCATGGGGGTCCCTACAACTCACCATCTGGAATACCAGGCTTTGCTCTGCAGGCCTGGCAGGGAGACAGCTCAGACTTGGACTCCCTGAGCCTCCCATACTGATCGGGTGCTTCTCCAGGCAGAAACCTTATTCCTTCTGCAGTAGCTACTACTAGAAAATTCTTCCTTAGGTAAAGCTGCAGTTTTCCTCCTGGTAACTTCTACCTTTTGGTTCTGCATTTTGAAGTAACATGGCTATTAGTTCAGGTACAGCTGTAACAGCAGCTGCTACTCTGCAGGATGCAGAGTGCACTCTCACATTTTGATCTCATATCACGCTGCTTAGATGAGGAGGCAAGTATCCCCATAGACAGATGAGAATGTAGAAGCTTGATAACCTAGAGGGTTTGCAAAGTTGCCCAGCTGTAGAGTGGAGGAGTCAGAATTGGAATCTGCATCTTTAGTTCCACTTTTGGTCAGACCACAAGGTCATGTGGTAGATAAGTGGCAGATGGTGCTCCTTTGTCTCCTTACCTTTTTTTTTTCCCCCCAATAATAGTAATAATAATAGTGATGATAATAAAAACAACAGTAGCAGTTGTATAGTTTTTACTCTGCCAGGTACTCTGTCCAATTCTTTTCCTAAACTGACTATTTAATCCTTGTTACAACACTAGAAAGCAGATATTATTTCTCCCATTTTATGGATGATGAAACAGAGATATAAAGAAGATGAGTAACTTGTCCAAAGCTAACCAGCACAGTGGTGAGGTTAGAGTATGAGCCTGGAAAACTGAGTAGAGCTTAGTTTCTGAAGGCTGTGGGTGGAGCTCACTGCAGCAAGAACTTACCTTTAATATTTCCTTAAATTGAAATGGTTTCTAGATTTCTCACCATCCT